CAAATAGACATAATGGCTCAACAAATGGAGGTCTGTTTCTTTCTTTCTTTTTTTAAGATTTTATTTATCTGAGAGAGAGAGAGACAGAGAGAGTGGGAACACAAGTAGGGGGAGTGGGAGAGGGAGAAGCAGGCTTCCCGCGGAGCAGGGAGCCTGAGTGGGGCTCGATCCCAGGACTCTGGGATCATGACCTGAGCCGAAGGCAGACGCTTAACGACTGAGCCACCCAGGCGCCCCTAATGCTTTCCCTAATTAGTAGTAAATAAATAATCAGTGCCCTGAAATGACAATATAATTAATGGCAGTTGATCCTTGAATAACACGAGGGTTGGGGCACTTGACTCTCCATAAATGTAACCACTCAGAGCCTACTGTTGACTGGAACTCTTACCAATAACATAAACAGTCAGTTAACATATATTTTATATATTATATGTATTACCTACTGTATTCTTACAATAAAGTAAGCTAGAGAAAAGAAAATGCTATTTAAAAAAATCATAAGAGGGATGTCTGGGTGGTGCAGTCGGTTAAGTGTTCAACTCTTGGTTTCAGCTCAGGTCATGATGGCAGGGTTGTGGGATCGAGCCCCGTGTCCAGCTCCCTGCTCAACACAGGGTCTGCTTGGGACTCTCTCTCCCTTTGCCCCACCCCCTCAAATAAATAAATCTTTAAAAAAATCATAAGAAAGAAAATACATTTATAATACTGCAATGTATGGAGAAACTCCATGTGTCAGTGAACTCGCACAGTTCAAACATGTGTCATTCAAGGGGCAGCTGTACTCATACCAAAGCTCACGTAGACCCATGTATTTTCTTTGCCACTTTTTGAACTGCTCCCAGGGTGTTTATCTCCCATGTGTACAAGATGAAGTGGGGGAGACGGAAGGTGGTGCTTTGAGAAATTAAAGCACATGCAGGGCCTTTAAAGCAGAGAGACCTGATGTTCCCATGTCAGTTGGAATGCTCAGGATTTCCAAGACCTAGGGCAAAGAGAAGCCAAGACTTTGTGTCTCCTTTAACGTTTAGTTGTTCAAAGACGATCTTAGAACCTTGTCTTGCCCTGGCTGCTTCAACAGCACAATGAGTCTCACATCAATGAACTGTATGATACCTTTCAACAAGATCTATTTGACTAAATCGTAAGAGGCCAAAAGAGAAGGGTGGGGGTAGAACCTGTTCTATGTATGATTTGGGTCCTAGGTCCCCAAGGCTGTGCTTTCCCTCAAGCACAGACTCAGGGTTCTGGTTGAGATGCTGCTCGTCTCTGGTTGAGACCCTTCCTTCCAGAACTTTAGGAGATTTGCCTCTAGTGATGCAAACAGGAATCCACATATATATATGACAGGGGTTCCTTTGACCCATTGTGGTGAATTATATCATAGACAGCACGATGCATGTGCCAGGCAGAACCTAATACCACTGGAGTTTCAAATGCCAAGCTCTCTGTCCCACTTTGCTTGAAAAAGTTAATTAAAAAAAATAGCAAACAGAAGTTAATCTAGTTTTATCTAATTTCCCTATAATGTCTAATTAGTGGAGATGTCAACTATTCTTCAATTAAAAAAAAAATTGAGGGGAGAATGCACTTTTAAAAAAGATTTTATTTATTTATTAGAGAGAGAAAGAGAGGCAGAGGGAGAGAGAGAGTATCTCAAACAGACTCTTCCCTGAGCACGGAGCCCGACTCAGGGCTCAATCTCATGATCCTGAGTTCATGACCTGAGCTGAAATCAAGAGTTGGATGCCTAACTGACTGGGCCACCCAGGCACCCCGAAAATGCTTTTTTTTTTTTT